ACTTGGCATCCGGTCCCTGGGTGGGCACTTCTGGCGGGAGCTGATCGTGATCGGCGTCGGTTTACCTCGCCTCCCGCCAATTCTTATCTCTCCTCTTTGCGACAAACAAAATCACATGGGGATTCGGACCTGAAAAGCCTCTCTCTCTCTCTAAGATGCACGATTTTCTGCTCAGACATGGACAGATTTTTCGGACGGAAATAATAACTTTCCCTTAAGATAGCAAATTAGAATTATTCGAGCGGGCAGGGTAAGGGGTGGCCTCTCTCGACCTAAGAATATTTAATTTTAACATCATTAAAAAGTTACTCGAACTCAAATTTTTCAAGGGGATCGTTTAGCTAGGGCATAGGAGTAAAAAGTTCCCTCTATCCTAAGATAAATATTTAAGGCATTTATGATGAGTGTCGGAGATTTTTTTCGGCGGCATTTTTCGCCACCTCCGAACAACCCCNGGGGGGGGGGGGGGGGGGGGGGGGGGGGGGGGGGGGGGGGGGGGGGGGGGGGGGGGGGGGGGGGGGGGATTTTCTAGGGACCTGAGTCTTTCCAGCACAATAGAGGGAAGTTTCGGGGGTTTGCGCCGGGAAATCTTGGAATTTTGTATCTATAGGAGAAGCATTAATTTTCTCCTCTCAAACCATAGGCCGGAAGCAAACTTAAGGTTCTTGGAACTTTCAAGGGGCGTGGATGTTCGATCTCTCTCTCTCTCTTTCATTTATCCTTATTCTTCTCTCTTTCATTTATCCTTATTCTTCTCTCTTTCATTTATCCTTATTCTTCTCTCTTTCATTTATCCTTATTCTTCTCTCTCTCATTTATCCTTATTCTTCTCTCTCTCGTTTATCCTTACTTATTCTCCTCTCTTCAATTTTATCTGATGGGCCTAGTCGACGACTGAGGACGCTCAAATTAGCTTCGAGTAAAAGTAAAAGAAAGCCCAGGGATTAACTCTACCAATGGTGATTGGAACCATCATCTCAAACTTTTACCTGTCTTCAAATATGATGAAATGAGAAAATGTAAACCAGTTAAATATGAAGCTACTTTCAAAATTCAATTACTTAGTTGTGCAAATTATCTGAAAGGACAACATGATATAGCCCTATATTCTGGGGGAGGGGTTACGCACATATTAATTACAGGCGCCTAGAAAATCTACTTGAATCTTTCACTTAAAGCATTTGTAGGCTTCGAGGAAATAATGTGAAGGCATGAGGTGGCAAAGGAGAGGGGGAAAAGGATTCAAAAATCAAAAATTGAGCACATATGAAACTTATCATGGTGACTCTAGTCTCAAAAACACTGTTACAGACTAAGATTGAGCTGAAAACCTGAAAAATGAAAACCTGAAAAATTTCTACTTGTAAAATTGAGAGTGTTAACAGACTCAAGGCAAAGGCAATTTAAACAGGAGTCTGGAAAGCACTCATCCTCATACGAATACGATTTGCTCTTGCAAGCCTGGTCTATTGTTGTTGGAATTTTCGAGTGATTTAATCAGATTATTGCAATGACCCTTTCGGCTCAAACAGATGGGAAAAAGGAGGTGCTTTAAATAATGAGTCTACTTTAGATAGATAATTTCTGCGAATAATTCGCTAAATTGTGTTTGACTCAAACACCAGTAGATGATTTCCTCAGTAGTTTTACTAATGTCTGTATGCTTGGTGCACTATGCAAGACATTCTGCTGGCCTAGAAAAGTAGAATACTTAATGACTGTTGCCTAGTAAAGGAGGATAATGTAACTATCTAAGGAACATGACGGCAAGATTCGTATGAACCTACTTGCTCCAGGCTTTGACGGGAAGGTACCTACTGTAAAAATGAAGCACTCTATGAGAGGAAATATACATAAGCCAGGTTGGAAAAAGAGAAGTGGAAGAAGACAAGAACATAAGTAAAATATGGGTTACGTACAATTTTGCAAACATGACACCAAATCTGAGCAGAATCTAAGTAAGGTAAGTTTGTGCAAGTCAAACCTGAATCCAGACCATCGCCATAAGATACACGCATCAAAGGAAGCTATGACCAGAAATCCGACTCCTTCAAATCGTGGGTAGCAATTATGAATGAAATTGTTCGCATTAGATTGAGAAATAGACACAGATACACTTAAAACGCGAGGCAAATACACACACGCACACACCGACACACGAGGAACACACCGGAACGAACGTCACATCACTCGGAGTCCCGAACTGCTGCTCAAAAAGTCACTGAGCAGTGAAGAAAATGCCTCGCGAAGAGCATGGTAAAATAGAGAAGTTCACATAGGCTCAACCGAAACAATGGAAACAAAATTCGGTGAAAATTTCGGGTAGGTATCAATTACCGACATTCGATTTACTCACACGCCGGACATGAGTTAGTAAAATTCGTGAAACAGGAGGAATCATAGGAGGCACGCGGCCGTCGTGCAATCCAAGAGACAATTTAGGCACCGAACACAAGCGATCGTTTTCATACATCGCCGAAGAGTTTTCGCGAAACACACGAGGTTCCAAACGACACGCACTGCGAAAATGAACACCGAAAATAACGAAACGGTACGAAACGACGAGAATCGAAGGAAACTGTGGGGAACCGTAACCTTCATTCAATTTGCTCAAACGCCGGGCAAAAGTTCCTTCGAGGAAATGAAGGACTCAATTCAACAGACTAATCACTTCACACGATCAGTTTTACACACACCGAAGAGTTAACGCATGACAGACGAGGTAACGAGACATGTTAAAAGAGTTCTAAGAGACTTAAAACTTCTAATGAGAGGAAAATCACTCGAAACCACGAGGGACTCACTCCGACCGACCGCGAGACAATGCAACCGACTTGAGCGACCGCTGTCGAAAATCTGCGGCCGACGCGACGGCGGAAAGTGATGATCGTATCCTCGGGTGGGTGGCCCGGAGTAGCGTCCTTGGATCAACACTGATTCTGATTGGCTCCCGCGAGGGTGTCTGCAACAAACTGTATCCTGTTCGAAGTTGGCGTCGGAGTATCACGTAGACTTTTGATTTCAGGTTTTCTTTTCCTTCGAGAACTGATAAGCGCGTACCGCCCGATTTCAGGCAGAGATACGTCCGGTCAATTCACCCATCCCCGCCCAGACCCTACGAACCCTTTTCGCATTCTCCTTTCACTCTCCACTCCACAAAAACCTTTCGGCCGAGCCGCCAGATTATGAAAGCAAAAAGTAATGATGCTGAAACTTCTACATCCCGTTTCGACAGACTGCAGAAGCAAAAGAGCGTTATCTTCGTTTGAGACGTTGTAGACTTCCTGTCATACTTTATTTTCTAGGTGCTTGGAAAATTACTGACATTTTTCGAAAATTTCGCTAATTATCCTTCTCCCTATAAAAAATTTGCTGCGAGAACTTCGAGCCATGAATGATCCATGTTCGAAATGTCGAAATACGAATTTTTAGAGTTTCACCGTTGATATAGNAGAGGAAAAGAACATAGGAGAGAGGAAAAAGTCGCTTTTGGGTCATTCGAAGAGACTTGGTCTATTTTGTGGGTATATCCCCGTGCCGCCAAAAAATTGCTTTTAATTTTTTTCCTTTTTGAAAATATTTGTTTTCCCGCATTTTGTAAGTGCAGTTGCTTCGCGATCTGTTCCAAATCAACCGAGACATTCACAGAACAATAATCATAGCTCTCTTTAAAAACATGGATTTTTTCGAAAACATTTGGCAACATTCGTAAGTTCATATGGCGTTTTCGTTAGCACGGCTTTGCCTGGGAATTTTCGAAATGTCGGCCTCACATAGTCAAAAACGCGCTTTTAGGTGATTTGTCAAGCTCAAAAGAAGTGGTCGAACTGGCATGCGATATATCGCATCTTTTAGGTAAAAAATCTCGGCAGATTTTGAATTTTCAGTAAAAAAAAGGACGATAGCCCCTGCGCATGAGCCTAAAGAATCATTCTAAACCCAAAAATTGGCAAAATTCAGAGAAATGAAAGCAGGATAGTGTTAGAGTACCTAGATAGTGTTTGGAAAAAAACCTCGCATTCGATACCGAAATCGATTTCGGTACCGAATGCGAGGTTTCAGCCTTATTATTCTACAGGGTGAGCGAAAAGTCCCCGACCCCCTAACTTTTGAACTAACTAACTTTTGAACGAATTGAGCTAGGGAAATGAAACTTTGGGGATGTTCCTATCTCAAAGGGGACCATCTTTTGGGGGGTCAAAATTTTGGTCCCCCCCTCAGGGGGGACGGGGGCCCCCCAACTTTNAGGAAAAGAACATAGGAGAGAGGAAAAAGTCGCTTTTGGGTCATTCGAAGAGACTTGGTCTATTTTGTGGGTATATCCCCGTGTCGCCAAAAAATTGCTATCGCAATTTTAATTTTTTTCCTTTTTGAAAATGTTTGTTTTCCCGCATTTTGTAAGTGCAGTTGCTTCGCGATCTGTTCCAAATCAACCGAGACATTCAAAGAACAATAATCATAGCTCTCTTTAAAAACATGGATTTTTTCGAAAACATTTAGCAACATTCGTAAGTTCATATGGCGTTTTCGTTAGCACGGCTTTGCCTGGGAATTTTCGAAATGTCGGCCCCGCATAGTTAAAAACGCGCTTTTAGGTGATTTGTTAAGCTCAAAAGAAGTGGTCGAACTGGCATATATCGCATCTTTTAGGTAAAAAATCTCGGCAGATTTTGAATTTTCAGTAAAAAAAAGGACGATAGCCCCTGCGCATGAGCCTAAAGAATCATTCTAAACCCAAAAATTGGCAAAATTCAGAGAAATGAAAGCAGGATAGTGTTTGGAAATAAACCTCGCATTCGATACCGAAATCGATTTCGGTATCGAATGCGAGGTTTCAGCCTTATTATTCTATGGTAGTGTACAACTAAAAGTGAATTTGATTTTTTTTTCTATTTCCGCATCCGTATCCTTCAACGGTTTCGTGACGTCATGAATTTCAACCAATCACAGCTTTACTTTGCTCTCCTCCCAGCATGCACCTTTGGCACCAAGAATGATGTAATGGCGGATGTTCTGTTGTTTGACAACATGAAGTTTATCTGTTTTGTCGTCTCATAAATAGTGATTTTTCTCTAAAATGTCGGGAGGTGTTGGTGTCAATTTACGGGTTACGGGACACTGTAATCAAGGTGGCCGTAAGTATATGGAAGATATGTTTTCGGTCGCGTATCAGCAGACAGCGGACTTGAAAGATCTTGAGTACGCCTTCTTCGGAATATTCGATGGCCATGGCGGACCTGAAGCTGCGACCTATGCCAAAGAACATTTATTAGATTCTATCGTAAGTCAAAAAGCATTTTGGAGTGATAGAGATGAAGATGTACTGCGTGCAATTCGCGAAGGCTACATGTCAACCCACTACACTATGTGGAAGGATAGAGGTAAGTTGGCCTACTTACTTTTAGGTTAGATCCTTCTGTTTACAACTTTCCCTCCTTTATCAGCTTTGAACATTCAGATACTCGAAAACATTTTCACCAAATTACCATTGTGAGGACGTCATGATTTCCACCATTTCAGTTGAATCACTGAATGAATGATGAATAGTTTGCAGACTTAAACTCTCTGCTCTCCATTTCCTGGTTCCATCATGCCCTTAGCGGAAACTTGTAGAAGTAATGTTTGATAAGCTGACAGTTGTTAACATTCCACTATCAAGTGACTCCGTTGCAGTTGTCTAATAGTTACCTAGGATTCACTGTGTGCGACGCTATTACTGTGCGAAGGTACATAACTTGGTCCACCGCAAGTGATTTTCAAAATTTAGCAACTGCCAACTTATCTGATGACACATATACTCGATGTTTGTAGTCTGTCATTCTAGTGATAGGCCAAGCCTGAATATGAGGATGACCAAGCAAACACCATAGTCCATTTTTTAAGGGCACCTCTAACTGTTCAGAGACCGTAATAATTGTCACCATGCACCAGACCTTGACAACCTTTTAGCTGCTACCATTAAGTAGTCATCATGTTTCTGCAAAAATCCTCTGTGACATCAAATTTAATTAAAAAGCAATTACATAGTAATCTCTCTCAATACTAATAACGAACTGATTCAATAGTTACTTCATTTGATGGTTTGTGTGTATACACACAACCTTGTTGTATTCACAACGCAGGGGTGGTGAAATGTATGTAAGTTTTCTTACAATTGTAGTCTCTTGCGTTTGATGAGTTATCTATTAATTCATGATTCACGAATGACTTAATTGTTATGAACTAATTCATCAAACTCAAAACGGAATGGGAAGTTGAAGTTATGTTTTATTGTTTACATCAAAGCTATCCAATAATACCAAAATGTTCACTAAATCAGTTAAGGTGATTCTATGCAATCTAGAGACAAGATTCGCCGCTGTGCTGTGCTGTGCTGCTCTGCGGTTTGTGTCTTTGAGAAGCAATATACATTGTTATGTATAAGTTGACGCCTGGTTTTTTTTCCCAGATAAATGGCCAACCAATTCTTCTGGACTTCCTAGTACCTCCGGAACCACTGCAACAATTGCATTTATCATGAAGAGTAAGATTTACATCGGCCATGTTGGTGATTCAGGCATTGTCTTAGGATTCCAAGAAGGAAGTAAGTCTAAAATCATACCTTCTTTGCTTGCCGATTGCTCTCGTATTGCAACCAAAGGACATTTTAGATTGATTGTAATGGAATAGTAAGGTCCACTGTTGCCTTGTCCATGATTGGAAATTATAATTTTTGTCTTAAAAGCCTTATGAAAAAAAGAAGAACAAATTAAGTAAGTATTTTAATAAGAAAGAAAGGGGAAAAAACCATAGTTTTCGCTGACCTCATGTTCTGTCCAAATTTTATTTTGGCCTATAGATGGATCTTATTACACTAATTTCTGAACTTGGAAATTGCTTATTCTCTGTTTGTGATGTACCTATAATTCCTTCCAAATTCTATTCCCCAATGGTTCAGTGGCATAACATTTCTGCAGAGTATCTGTCAATTGTTTCCAGTGTAAAATTTCATGAAAAAACCATGAAGCTCATCAAAAGATTTAAAAAAGCAATTCTAAGAAGAGTTAAAGCTGATTAAAGTCCAACTGATTAAAGGAAGACAGTTAAAATAGTGTAACTAGGCTGTGTCTTTGGCTGGGCTTCAGTGTATGCAATCTTTCTCACCTGTCTACCTCATTACAGATGACGAAAAATATTGTTTCAAATTTTGCAATGAGTCTAAATTTTGCCCACTTCAAAATGATTTTCTTTGTCAGTATGATTAGAAAAAATTACTAAGAGATCAACTCACTCAGTACTTGAAGAAAATTGATTAAAAAAAAAATAGGCACCACTGGCCCATTGAAAAACTGATGACGTGAATTCTCAAAAAAATTCTATGATTCTTCTCTTGTTGAAAGGACATTCTGTGACAGTGTCAAGCGATCAAGTCAACCTACTGACCTCTGAAAAATTAAACAAGTATGGAAATTTTGAAAAATACCATAGGCAACTTTGAACACTTGGTTTCTAAGTTAAACTGTAAATCTGAATTGCTGGCTTGAGAAAAACTTAGAATCAAGATATTTCTCTGACAGGGGTGTTTTTGCTTTATGCTCTACTTTTCCAATCATTTTTAAGTGTAAGATATTAAATTTCTAAGACAGTTATTGCTTGTAACACTTTTAAACTGTTGAGGGCTGACACTGAGTATTCCCTTGGATTTTGAATATAAGCAATAGCTTTTTGTCTTTTGTAACACCATGAAGTGCCTTAATGTGTGTTTTTTATTTTCTTTAGCTGACCCCACATGGCAGGCAAAGCTTTTAACAAGGGATCACAAACCTGAAAGTTTCACTGAAAAAAGAAGGATACATTTGTGTGGAGGCAAAGTTATCTCAAAAGCAGGTGTTCCTCGAGTAGTTTGGAATCGGCCCAAAATTGGCCACAGAGGTCCTGTACGGAGATCAACACCAATTGATGAAATTCCTTTTTTGGCTGTATCGAGATCATTAGGTAATGTTTAAACTTTTTTTGTTCTAGTGTATTTTTCGAAGAAAATACAATATTTTGCTAACCCCTCATGTCAGATCCAGATCAAAGACCATGCGCAGAGCATTGGATCATTTTTTCGAATTGTTGCTAGCCTAATTAAACCTATTTAAATCTAGATCCCATTACCAGAGAAAATGGGGCAGATTGCCCATTTTCACTTTCATTTTGTTCAGTTTTGGAAGTGTAAAATTAGAATATATCTTTCAAAGTATGCTATTTTATGTCACATGTACAGCAAGATGTGCTGTTTTTAATCAGATTTTTTCTCTCTTAGCACTGATTATGGGAGCATATTTTTGTGAGTGTTGTAAAAAGAAATGCAAACTTGGATCTGGCCTCTTGATAACTATAGAGACCAAAGACCACCCTTACGCATCAATAATCTTTTTGGTGTTAAAAACATACTCTGAATCTTAGAAGTAGTGAAGAAGTCAAGATTCTTCTTTTTTCTCATTTTCTATGATTTTATTCTTTTTCTACAGGAGATTTTTGGAGTTACAATTCTGAGTATGACAAGTTTGTCGTCTCGCCAGAGCCTGACGTCAGTGTTTTTCCAGTTGATCCGCAAAAGCATCGATGTCTTATTTTTGGAACCGATGGTTTATGGAATGTTATGAACCCATCTTATGCTGTTCAGACAGTCCAGTGGACAGAAATTCAAAATGAAAAACACGTTATCAACCAAACTCAAAACCAAAATGTAAGCAGAATAGTTATGTCCCTCCTGGCATTTATATAGTTTTAACTTTCTGTTTCGATGAAAGTACAAAAAATATATTTTCTATCCATATACTGAGGAGCTTGACTTCTCAGGGCATGTAGCATCTATGTTTCATTCCTGTCAGTATGTGTCCAATATGATTGCAATATGTTTAAATTGATTGGCTAGTTACGGCTATTGATTGGCTATTATATATGTATATTTGAATTCAGCATTAAAACTTTCTAAAATTGCCATTCAATGACTCAAAATATAGTGATAAACTATGTGGCTGTTTTCTTATTACTATGGGCGACACATTCTGAGAAATCGCTCTTAATAAACAATTCCTAGAGATGAGGAAAATTAAGTATGTACAAATGTCACCTGGAAACATGGCACCACTCGACAGAAATATATGTGTCAACCAACGGGCCAATCTTTTTCCAATGACAGAATTTCTCAAAGTTTCAAATCTTTAGTCAGTGATCTTTTTAGTTCATGTTTTACTTCTAATCTCTGTAAAAAAACTGAATTCGTCATTCCTTTAATGTCACCCTTCTATGTTTAAATAGAAAATGAATAAGAATAATACGATTTTCCCTTTGCTCTTCCTGTAGATTTCAAATGAGAAATATAAATAAATAATTGTCCTTTTTTAACATTTCTTTGAATTCCTTTTCAAATGTTTACAGCATCCAGAGTGGATAAATCCAAGTAAAAATTTAGTGGATGAAGCGCTATTCCTGTGGTCAGTGAAAAATCTGAGAGCAGACAATACTAGTGTAGTTACTTTAATGTTGGATCCCCCTGGACCACCTCGAGCTCAGGTAAGAATTATCACTTACTTTCCTGAATGAAACCTACACAAAATCAGAGACCATCTGAATAGAATCAAACAAAACGGTCACATCTTTATCGCGTTATTTCAAAACCTCATCTCCTATTTTAATTTTTAGGAAGAGAACCAACCAATATCCTCACTTGAAAATTGTTGCAATTTTTCTTGTCCAAATGGAGATTATTTAAACAAAATTTTAAGCGCAACTTTTGGTTGGTTTCCTTCCAAAAAATTAAAGTGGGATATGAAATTTTGAAACACTGCAATTTTGATTTGACAATTTTGCTTACCTCCCTCCTTTTGAAAAGAGCAAAAAATATTTCGAATCAGATAACCATAGCTGCAGGTAGTACGCACTCAATTAACTTACTGAATCATGAGTACACACAGTTTTTCTTGGCCACTGCGACACTGCTTTTCGACAACTTTCTCAAGCTGAAGTTTGTTACATTGCAATTACCTATCTCTGATGAACTATACACTTGCTAGAGTGAGTGCTCGGTTCATCGTGGGTTCAAACACAACTAATTTGAAATGAACATAACGTTATAAAGTCGTCAGTTTTAAAACCAATTCACTTCAAACGCTTCTGGCATTACTTATACTGCATATTAAGGCTTTAAATTTCAACTCAATAATCTTAAAAGAATTTAAAATCGTTTACCATCAAGGACTTAAAATCAATATTTCTAATGGGCATTAGATTTTCCCTTTCCTGAAAAGTTGGACCTGTAATTTTAAGTCCCATTTTCTCACATTACTTCATATCTTACCTTAACTTAGTTAGTCTAAAAGAATTGACAAAGAAATAAATTGTCCGTGCTTGTCAAATATGGAAAAAAAGTGCTAGATTCCAAATGATGTTATATTCAGACCAAAACTTTAAATAATTACATTAGCCGTACTTGAGGATGTCAAAGTGAAGTTTTCTCCAGGTAAACAAGACAGTTCTTTTACACAATGAATATACCCTGAAAATCAGTGAACGGCTCATGGTTACTCGCACCCTCGATTTAAGAGCGGAAATTTTAAAAAAAAAGGTGCGAACGATACGTTAGTAAATACGGTATTAGAGTTATAATCAATAATTCATGTATAATCTTAAGAATATTTCCCGAAATCCTTTTTTTATGTCTAGGTATTGATGTCTCAACTGAAGAGGAATTGTAGTGCAAATGAAAAACCACTGAGCAGCACACCTCTTGAAGCGGGATCAAAACTTTGTGGATCAAAAGGGAGCATGTCCCCTCAAACCTCTAATGATATTCCTTTAGAAATGGGTGAAGAAAACTTACCAGCTGTTCCCGCCTCAGGAAGTGTAGCATTGTTCACTCATTATGGCTCAAACCAATATTCACTACCTTGGTCCATGAACAAATCCTCAGCGCCAATGTCATCTCCAAAGGAAGATTTAGATGCCTCTATCATCGACCATGAAAGGTACTATTGATCTTATTGATTCGGTCATGCTGAATGTGATCTTTTTCCTTCAAAGTTATGATTTGTCAATAATTTGTTTGCTGATTATTAGCTTAATCAATTGATTCAGATGTTGGACTAAGTTTAAGAGCTTTCAGTGCTAATAAAGCCACACCAGATGCTCTCCAAATTTTCAAGTAATACTTTTGTATCAACATCGCCTCTAATGATTTCAAAAAATTATGAAATCTTATAATTTAGACCAAATCTTCATAAGCGAAGGTTAGCATTATTCAGTTAGGCGTATTTCGGTTTTCTATCGGCTTTCACCCGCTAAGGTAACTATGCTGGATGGATTTTTGACTGCTATCTGGTAAACTCCCTACCGCTAGGGTTGCTCGGTAGTTTCCTAGAGTGGCTAACTGGAAAAAAATTTTACCACTGAGGCGATTGTATGTCATGACCCTCCACTGCTGTAGTCACGGACGAATAACGTATTATTGGATGGTACTGTACCAACTAACAAAGTTATATTTGACATTACCGTACCGACAAATAACCACTTCGAGAAATGAAGTTTTTGAAAGTTTTAAAGTAATGCTTATCTCTAGAGCTCAACCGGACTGATTTTGATAATGCTTGATTCCGGTATAAATTCTTGTATAAAAAATTATCAAACTTCTAGCTTTTTTACTCTCTTTGGTCTAAGACGCTCCGAATGCCACAGTTAAAAGGAAATCTAAGTGCTCAATCTCTACCATTGTCCTGTGGTCCATTGGTCACCAAAAGTGAGAGCTAAAATGATCCTGCCTTGCATGGGGCATGGCTCCACATGCCTGATTCACATATCTTTTTATCATAATATATTATTGCTGTGTTTCATGAGTGCACAACTGGAAGATACTCACTCATTCATGTTTCCAATTTCCAGGCTGTTGTCAAATTCTCCCGATAAATCAAGCAACAGGAACAGCAATAGCAGCCAAAGTGGCACATGTACAAGCAACATTGTAGATGAAAGCCATAGAAATTTGGTTCAAATCAATGAAATTTCCTCTTCAAGTACCTCTGAAAACCGAAATAGTGATAATGATGAAAAATGTGTATTTGCTAATAATATAATTCAGAAATTCAAGAGGAAGCCTAATATTTGCTCTGAAACTAGTCATTGTATGAACAATACCTCAACTTTGCCGAAGAAAAAAAGGTATTTATATTTATTAACTTATTAACTGATTCAGTATTCCAATCCTACGTTGAGGTTTCCTATGCGGAGTTTGATCAAATGGTGACATACCAATGAAAAAAGAATGAAAGCATTATTACCATTAAGCATTATTTAGCTGGGTTTGTCATATGTCAAACCCAGATTTGCTGAAATCATCCAAAAAAGAAAAAAAACAATCAAAAAAATCTCGTTTTTTTTTTTCATAAAAAAATGAAATTTATAACAGTCTGATAGCTATTTTAATTGGAACCTTTCCTTCATCATCAGTGAGAAGAACCACCTGTGGTAGACTTTGTTGATCAGTGGACTATCAAAACACCTCTAAAAGGGCAAAAATTGAATTGAGGGTTTATTTCAAAATAAAAATCTGACTTCAAACTCATAACTTCCAGGCACAAATCCTTTTTTCTTATTTGAAGAAGCACAGAGATACCTAGTAGTAATTTTAAAAGACCAAATCATTCAGTGCAAAAGAGAACATTTTATTTAACAAATTTTTATTGTCTGATTCCACATTGTATCTCAATTATCAAATCATGTTTTCAGCCATATATTTTTGACCTCAGCGTTAATTTGCCCAAGTGTTGCTATTTTCAAGTAGTTTAATAGTCTCTTCTGAAAACATGTTCTTTCTTATATGAAGGTAAGATGTTACATGATTTATAGTCATTAAAATTTTCATTTGTGTTGATGTATTGACACTATTCTCTCTTGATGTTCGGAATTAGAATAGACTCATTCTTACCATCCAACAGGTCTAGTGAAGGTGTCAGAGATGATGAAAAAGCTGGCAGCAATAGTGACGTAGAAAATGAGCGTGATAATTGGCAGTCAACGCCAGCCTCTACCTCAAATTCGATGAAACGACGAAAATCGAAAAAATCGTCCTCGGATTGGAACAGAACTTCTCACAGCATAATGTCTCCCCTTCCAAATACAGGTATTAATTTTTTCAATTGTGTTTTCTCTTCTTTTTATGTCTCTCCCTTACAAGTTTTCTCTCACGAAGTAGCGTATTATTTATGAAGTAAAGCCCACGTCAAATAAGTTAATGCACTTTTAAACTGTGATAGAAGATTGCATGATGTCAGTTTAGTAAATGTAAGAATCAAAATAGTGGATCTACTGTTGCAGTCTAAAAGTGCATAAACTTATTTGGCGCAGACTATATTAGCGTATCATCTCAAAAAAACTTTTTCACTATACAGTTGGTGTCCCAGACAACGTGACATTTAAAACTTTTGGGACACCCTATGCACATGTACCGTATAAGGCTTTTTTCTTGGTCATTTTAAGTCGGACCTATTTGAGGACTATCAGAACAAATAACCTCAAATAATCGGGGGAAACCCCTGGTATGGTTAGTCTAGGACATCCATGTGCATAGGGTGTCCCAAAAGCCTAAGGTGTCCTATTACCTACGGAACTGTGCTTAGCCTACTGGTAAAGCTTGCATAACTCCTAATCAATTGAAAGGAAGATCATGACTTTTGCACTTAGAAAAGTTGCAAGAGTTTGAAAGAATCGGAAGGGGGGAGGAAGTCAGCATTAAGAACTGTCACCTAGGGGTGTTCAAACGAATTCTTGCCGGAACACTATCAACATCGTCTCTTATTGAAACTGGCGGCAGTACCAACAGTGGCGATGATATCGACAACAGCCGGCCTTATCGGAGTTTTAAGAGCTCGCACTCAATGCATTGTTGCCCCGTGTGTCGGTTTATCAGATTGCCTGGCGCGGCGGCACGTAAAATAGATGTACAAATGGCAACAGCTTATTTTCGCCAGCTCCGAAAACTCTGATCGCTATCGGCAAGAGCACACTCATCGTAACTTTTTCTTAACGGAACTGTTTCGGTAGCTTACCGACAACCGGTAGAACAGCCCTACTGTCGCCCTGTTTTTTACGTTAGTAGCTGTAGTACTTTTATCTCGGATCATTAAATACCAACCACAACCTGATCAGTCACATAATACAATTTTTCACAATTATCATTTAATTGGGCTGAAAAAGAGTGTTGAACACAGTTACAATATATATACACAGTTGATATGGTACAAATCCTTTGAGGGTATGTCAAAAAACTGCAAGTTTAGCCCTTCACGATTTTTGGATAACCCCGTCTTTGTTTTCTGAGTCTCCAGAGACCACTAGTTTTTATTATTTACTAACTTTGTAAAACGATTTTAGGTAAAATGAGCTCTATGAAGAAACCAGTTCGATCAATCGAGACTACAACCAGGACTCTGCGCTCGGATACATCAGCGGCAACACCTGTCAAAACTCTTCGATCAAGGAATGTAGATTTATCATCGTGTAATAAGCAGCAGTCGGACTTCTCTATGCCAGTCAAGTGCTCCAGAAATGTGGATCTTTCCTCGTCCAAGTTAGCTGTGCTTCCAAGAACTGGCGTCTTTTCTAGGACTTCAGAAAATGTACACTGTTTAGGGTCGTCTCCGATTTTGAAAAGGTCGGCTTCTATGTCACCAACTCCTCATATTCTGGCAAACAAGTATGGGAAGCAATCAAACTCTCTGTCCCCGCCAGCCAAGCGATTTTCTAAAGATGTAAGCAACAGTAGGCAGTGTATGAAAACAAGGAGTCATGTAAGTCGTCGCTTCATTAAGTGAATCCTTAAAGACCCTGCCTTTCAAAGTCTCAACTTTATCTCGCATTTCGAGCAAATTTTCAGAGAATTTCAATGATTGTTTATATCTCCCTTAAATTTTAGTTTTTTTTTTTTTTTACAATTAGTACAGCCATTAACAATCATCATGGTTTTTTCTTTTTTTGAAAGTGAAGAAATCACTTTTTGGTGTAACACTCAGGTAACTTCGGAATATCTACATTTATGCCAGCATTTTCAAGACTAATTCCCTGGTGCCAGTTATAAATCAAAATTCAATTTAAATTAGTATTGAAAGAGGACTGATCAGTGTTTGCGCAAAGTTTTGTTACTTATCATTACCTACTAAACTCTGGCTGAGTTTCTACTCAAATAATTCACAATTTAATGCAGCTTAATTTAGATCTGTTCGAAATGCTTTGATCTGGTTGAACCAGTAAAGTGCTGCTCAGATCTCTTCAATTAGAACCAAAACGTATTTGAAAGCTTGTTGATGGTATGTTTGATAAAAATTGAACCATCAGTTATATTTACCAATAAAGATTGCATTATACTGCTACCATTCAAGTCAAACATGTATTCTTGACTAAGTTCATGCAACGGTTTTCAACTTTCATTACACCATGCGAGTCTATAAACACATATTCAACCGGTCCAAGAAATGCTTGAATAAATGTAGCTCCTGTCACCAAAATGAATCTATATTTTTTTATTTTTAAAGTGAAACGTGCTAAGGGTACTTATACTGAATGCACTAGGATATTGTACTGATGAAATCAATGTTCACAAAATGGAATTTTTAAAGAATCACTGAGGTAAGAACTGCCAGAAAGTCACATTACGTTTCTTTGACGTGAATTTTTTACCAATCCTATCTTCTGAACTCCCTATCAACCTTTACCCAGAAATGATTTGTATCACTGCTCTGTGGATTTTCAAAAACCTAAATCTACTTTTCTTATTTTCAGTGGTTTTGAGTTTTGAAAATGAACTAGGTGTCTGCAAAGACATAGCGTAACCTTTCAGTCTACATAGTGATGAGCAAACCATCTATCCTATTTCGAGGAGACTTGGTGCTGATTTTTTCCACCACCATAAAATTTTAACTCTTGGTTTCTCAAAATTACTGGGTTGAAAAATGGGAGCTGAACTCATATGTTATTGAAATACACTATTAGATCTCATTCGTGCCTTATTGCATATTAAATACTTCAGTGGATCTTCATCTTAGCTTGATTTTTGTGGTCTTCAAAATGTGCATTCATGCCTATTACTCCCTTATGACATTTTTTAAAAAATTACCCATTTTTATTATCTCGTCCTAGCAGATGCGTGTAGCTGTACCTTTTACTGTTTAAGTAGTTGAAAGTTTTAAGAATTTTTGTTCACTTTTTGAAAAAGTTTGTCATCATTATCAGAGAATATGTAGGTGTATCACATTTTTAGTTGTCCTTTTCTTAATCTTATTTATGTATCAAGAATAAGTCGTTGCAATCAAAATGTCCCCTTTATTTCTCTCTGTCGTTGTGTTCAGAGAATCTACCTTCATAAGTAGAAAATTACCATCGCAGTTTTAAATACATAAATGTTTTTGAAATCTTTGACAGTCCCTTTAAATCATCGATAAATAATTATTTTCTTTGGCAGCTTAAATGCCCTAAATTAAAAAATTAAGTTGCAACTATTTTACCACATTTTTAGTACTCTCTTTATCGGAGCAAAATATTACCATGAATCATCAACAGACACAAAAACGCCGTAATTTTCATTACTAGTAGGCTAGTTTAATTCTGTATGTATGTAATTTGGAAAGCTGACAGCAAATAAAGGAGTTGAATTCTTACTAAGGGCAATTCAGGAAAAAATTCATGCTGGAGAGTTAGAAAATTTTTTTAATTTTACCATTAATTTTAAGTATATCCTCAATATCTGTTCTGTTTAACCGGAATTTTTATGCTGGGCTGAGGATTTCGACAAGTCTCACAAATGGCTGTGTATCCAATTTACCAAATAACAAAACAAGCATCCAGCTTATTAAGTTGTGGCTCGCACTTACTATGAAATCAGGTGCGCCACTTTTCAGCTAACTAATTGAAGCCTTATCAAAATATTCACCTGTGTCAGCGATGCAAGAGCAAATTTCAATTTCAGTACATAGGAGGTCTCTGATTTAATACTGTGTTTGGATTGTATCTTGTTTGTAAACATGAGACGTCCTCATCTTTATGAGCTGCTTTGATCAAGTTTTTGCCTCCATTCACATATTGAATTAAACTTGTTGGGTTAAAACTATATGTGTTTCTCTTTTTTTTTTTAAAGAAATAAATATTTTAAATCTTTTTTAAATTTAGAACTCAGAACTCTCCTATTCTCATACTTTGTTTGCGGCTCTCTTTCAACAATGCATTCTTGTACCATTTTAACCGGAAATTTTCTCTTCAAAAACGGTTTGATAAGATTTCACTATGAATAAGCATCATTTGTAACCCGTGCAACGTTTTTGTGTGTCCAGAGGTGGTTCTTTCATTGCTCACACAACAACTAAGTATGTGATTATGATAAAGAGGACAAAAATATTTGCCTGAAGGTTTATTTCTGTACCAGTTTGAGCTATACTAACATTGCATCTCTACAAAATATTACCATCCTTTTAACTATAGTATCAAAATCCAGGCCAAAATATTTAGCTGTGCTCCCTGTAAAGTAATGAGAATACAATAATGAGTATTCAGAATGAAATAAAATATAGTTCAATCCAAATTTATTTTTAAAAAAAAAAAACAACAAATAAATGCTCTTAAGCACAGATTTTAACTTTATTTCCCTCCATAAATTTTGATAAAGATATCATTTTTATCTGCAAAGACATTTTAGATTCGGGAATCAAGTATGGAATATACTATTTATTTTTTAAGTCTTCCAGTCTACTAAACTGGAAATAGATTTGCTCTTATTTTAAAGTTTAATCTGTTTGTTATTGAGTTTTTGAATTCGTCAATTTGGTATTATTATAAGTTTATACTCATCCATCTCTATCTAGATTTGTGTATTTGATATTTTTTCGAGATGAATCATCTATAATCGTTGTCCTCAATCTCTTTATCCTGAAAACTTAATTTTATTTTTCTCAAGATTTATGATTAGGTTATCTTTTATTGTTGGCAGATTTGTATATGTTTATTTTTTGTAATTTCTTTTTTTTTCCAAATACATACCAATGCATTATGTTTCTATGAAAGTTTAAATCATGAAGAATAAATTAGTTGTTAATTATGATAGAAAATTGAATTAATTTTTTCCATCTTGGTATCTCTTTTTGATTGAGTTTCTACCAAAAAATTCCTCCACTAAAAACCAAATGATTTGGTTCTGGGTAAATTTTTTATTCAATTTGTTTTTTAGATGAGGGACCTTGGAGCGGCAAATATTTATTTGCACCAAACGCACAATCTTAATTCAGTTTCGCTGTTGACACTTCAACGATCTAAACAAGACGTTCCTAATTCTTAGGAATAAGTACCTTATTGCAAGCCTATCTACTTGTTTCGATTTGTAAGAGATTTTGCGTCTGTGTTTAAAATTTCAAAATGATCCACCGACCATTTAATATTGGGACCTCTATTACAAATGGATAAGGTTGCTTATCACATTATTCCTTAACTTTTTAGATTGCTGTAAAAACAGTACCAAAAAAAAGAAAGATTTTTCAATTCAAACTTGATCAAAAATGCTGGAGCTTCTCTCTCAGCATAATTAATATTAGGATTTATTCCTACGACTCAACAAAACTGCACTTAGCAATGCTGCGCTTCATGGAAAGTCATTTCTTTTTAATTCTTTAAAAGGAGACTGTTCAATTAATTTCTTGAAAATTTGAGGTTCTGTCTCCCTCAAGAGAAACAGTACCTGCAGCCTGATTTTTGAAATTTTGTGGTTGTCGGGTAGACATAGGTGACATAATTTAAAAAGGCGGTGCGTAATTGGTCGGCTTTATCTTATCACTGCTTTATCGTGCTTTTGTCAAGTGGAATGGACAACATACTGTCAGAAACTTAAGACGTGCCTTTACCTTGTCGTGAGTTCCACCCAACATAGGCTCGACAAAGCAGCGATAAGATATACCTGACCTATCACGCTCCGCTTTTTCACCTACGGCATCTACGTCTATCCTACAAGCACAAAATTGCAACAATTAGGCTGCAGATTATTACAATTACAACTCACAATTACAGACTACTCTTGGAAAATGTCGGTCACTGATTCTTATACAGAAAACATGAAAGGCATTTCTGCAACATTGCAATGCAGTTGGTTTCTTTCTGCTTACATAAATTTGTTGATGAAAGAATAAAACTATGTACAAAAGTTCAGTCCATCAAGATTAGTCCCTGTTACTTAAGCAAAAAAATTAGATAAATGAAATTAAAACCTGAGTGACTACTAGCCCTAGGGTGAACAGTAAAATTACGCAGATGGGCATATGGTGTCTTGAATAGTATTTATTAACAACGAATAAATTAAAAAATTGCGGCAAAATGTAAAATAAACATTGCATAGAAAAAGTTTTTAACAAAAGCTAAAAACAAGGAGAAAATCCCGAAAGTAAAAAAGTTACAAAAACTATAATTAAACATAATATGTACAGAATATGGAAGGATTTGATTTCAGATGGAAGCAAATCAAAGCCTCGTTTTGCTAAGTTCAAATCTTTTCTTATTATCCATATGATTTCATTGCCCTGGTCCAGACAGAGATTTATCCATGAACTTCTTCTTGGAAAAGCATAACCACCATTTAGAGGGCTTGTTATCCTCTCCGAATACTTTCTCACAAATTCTGACGCCTGTTTCATGCCTAATTTGCTGCAGATACTGCCGCATCAAGTCTAAAAATAGAAAACAATTACCAATCAATATGGATCTTAGAATTAGATAAGTAGTGAATTTTACAAAACTATAGCACAACTGGACAAGGTTCAGCCAAAATACCCGGTCACATTTAGGGGTAAAATGTTTTGGCAGAAGTTTTGAATTAAATTACAGTCAAATCAATTCAGAGCCCGCTTGAGTCGGGAACCCTACTGAACCAACAGTAATGACTTTGTCCCATTTTTTTCGTTTTGCCGTGTCAAAGTCGGCTTACCTCCGAAACCTTGCTAAGTCAGAATGAACCCTTGGTTCCGAACTGTGGTTCCGCAGCATTCCAACTTAGTGAGTTTTGACGGTAGACATATATTTTCTCCTGTCCAAAATTGGAAGACAAGAAAAATACTTTGAAGGTGGAGAAAGTTGTGAAACTTTGTCCTTGACATTGAATCTGATGGAGGAAAATAACTTCGAACCTCCTGAAGATTAATTGACATAAAACTGGTTTGCCCCAGCAAGAAAGCATAAAAATATCAGAGACTTGTATATTTTGTGAGATTTCTTTCACTCTGGCACTTTTCCTGCCGCCCATAAATCCAGCAGCGGCATGATCTCAACATTTTTTAGGATCAGATATCGACAGTGAAACTATCAAACCACATATCTTGGGTTGTGATGTTGCAAATTTCTTGCCATACTTTATTTTTTAAATGAAGAACTACTCAACGTCAATTTATAAAAACTTCTATAATTTTTCTTCTCAGAGCGAGCCCAATTTTGAAAAACTTCAGGGAATGATGCTGATTTGTTCTCTTTTTTAAAAAAATGAAATATGAGCGAAATTTTTTAAACACCATTAAGGGCATATGTCGTTTCGGAGCAGTATTCTGCCTCCCCCGGGCGCCATGCGCCAAATGCGCCTAAAAATGGGGGGGGGGGGCATCATGGCGCCTAAAAAATTCGACTGGTTGAACTCACAATCGGGAAGCAGCGGTAGCGATGAAGCGTTCTCTATACGCACCATTTGCACCATCGCTATGGCCCGTATGCTAAAATTTAATTTGGCTCCTAAAAAATAGTAGGTGGCTCCTAACAATTGGGCTTCCCAGCCAAGGTGGTTCCTAGAATTTTAGGGGGAAGGCAGAGCACTGTTTGGGAGTTCATCTTTGATACTTGTAAAACTATGCAAATGAAATACAACAAAGTAAAATAACAACTACATTACTGATATTTTATGTATGCCCCTTTTCTCTTTTATCCTACTTTTAGAAACAAAGAGACTTACCTCCTTCAGAAGGGCTGCTGGGCTTTGCATATACTGAATTCAATGGGAAACCGGTTTCTCCCGGAATACTGAATGGTGAAATTGCTAGTGAGTACATTTCATTCATTCCTTGGTTTTTAGAGGCACATTTTTGTAACCTCTTCAGGCATTCGGTTATGTACAGTGTGATATAGATTAAAACTCTGTCTGCATCACTCTAGAAAGACAATGAAAAAGTCAGATAATGAGTATAAAAAATCTTTCCTTTATGGGGGCTGATGAAATCCTTGATCTCACAATCTCAAATCACATTCAGTTGGTGGTAAAAATCAGAGCAGCAGAAAATGCTGGATGGTAGTGCCCTGATCTGACAGTCTCGTGTAAAAGCAGTCGAGGGCAATAATTTTTTTTAAGATCTGTTAGGAAGTTTATTTTAAAAGAGGAGGGGGAGGTTGTAAAATATTGAAATTAAGTCTATGTATCTTTATTTTTTCCAACAAATATTGAGGGATTTCTCAAAGCACATCTATAAAAATTGCTCAGACTCCATGGAGACGAAAACCTTAGAGCTGCATTTCATGAACAGTCAAGTACATTTACTTTCAGTGAGGATTGAAAACTTTTTTTCCCATTGATTTATGCTCACTAAATTGTGGAGCGCCATATTTACGCACCATACCATGCCATCGATGACACAATACGGAGAAAATTTTTTGTGAAACTCTCTTTACAGTTGACCTATCCTCAGCGGGTGAAAGTCTCTAAGGAGTGAAAGAAATGTTAAAATTTGTTGCTGGATATTGGTTTATTAAGTACAGAAACCACATTCAAAAACAGTAATTTTGCACTGTAACTCGAAGTAAGACTGCTGAAAGATTGAAAAAAAAAATGAAAAGAGAGCAACTTTAGACAACAATTACATCTTTTTTTTTCCATTGCTGCGAAGAGATTGAAAAAAATAATGTTACCTTGATCTCATAAGTGCGAAAGAAAACATTCGCTTTGAAGAAATAAATAGCTTCATCAATTATGTCCTTATCTGCAGTGGTTGGAGCAGGTCCTCGATGTTGTGTTCTCAGAGGCAAAAGAGCCAAATTCCCAACAGAGTTATTCGACTCAGTGAACGTGGAGTGGTATGCCTAAAAAATTAAAAGAATATCAATTGTCAGAACAATACATGATTTTAGGAGGAAAAGGGTTAAATAGGTACTGTAAAAAAATGTCGCAAATAAATTTTTTTGAGGAGTTAATGTCAAAGATATTTGATGAAAATAAAATTCTTGCAGTATCAATTGCACTGCATAGTCTGTTTGGTTGTTCTAGTTTAATTGGCCAAACTGCGACGTGCAAATGAGCAGCAACTATGAAAAAAGAGGGATCACCATTGGATCAATTCTTGTAGACTAGGATTACAGGCGATCAGCGAGGTTGAATTTCAATTTTATTGAAAGTCAGGTGATTTTTGAGTAACGCATTGATGACAGCTCAACACTGAGAACTAAACCATGCCCAGATTTGACTTTTGGCTGCTCCCATGGTGGTTTTGGGGAGAGAAATTAAGTACCAAGGTGAGACCAGGGGGCCTCTCCTAGAGGAAAATTGTCAAAAAATTAAATACGTAATACTTAGTTGGACAAAACTGACCAAATTCTTCTCCGAATCTTGCCTGCATACTTTGCTGCTACTTGACACACAAAAAAAAGGACAAAACTTATCTGACAGCCCTTTCATTTCTCTCTCCTCCTACTAGCCAAAATTTGACGTCCGTAAGCAACTGCGACTGCCTCAGTTGCTTGCCCAGTAGCCACCAACGCGGTTCACACTAGACTTTTCAATGGCTCAACCTGATAAGATTTCCAGCAATGCTTACGGCCTCTCCTCTGAATTGAAAGGGATCCTCATACTTACTGATAACAAAGAGGTCTACCTCTCCATGATGATGTACCTTTCAGGCTGTGGAATCGGAATCCATCGAACAAAAAATGGAAGTTGAGACACTTACCGGCATTGCGAATTAGGTTCTATGGCTATAGATCTTCCACAGCACCAACGAGTAGATTATACAAATTTAATACAGACAAAAAAGCATTTCAAATAGGAGCAAATAATGCTTTATCAGATTGTACTGGGCAGGGCAGGGATATCAACACATACAAAATATTGGCGTTTGAGTTTAGCAGAGATTCACTCTTGGCCCGGAAGGCTAGACTTACAGAAAATCCTGCCGCAGATCATCAGTAAGCGGGAGCGTGACACCGATGCGTGTATGCTCTCAGCTCTGGTGGAGAAAGAGAGAACTTCAATTGCACTTATGTATTAGCAATTATGTCGACTCCTTACAACAACAGTTGCAGCCCAGTGGTAAATTGTTCGCCTCCGAAGTGGAAGGTCAGCGGTTCGCGCCCCCGTTCGCAAATATTTTGACGTCATTATATTACACATTATGTCATAAATGCCGCGAGTGGCCGTAAAGAAATACTTTTTCCCATAAAATAAGAGTGAGGCGTGCATTTTTGCGCACGTAATTGAAAAGGGCTCCTCTTGCAGAGAAACCTCTGGACCTAGGGTGTAGGGCCCTAATCTTAATACGTAGACCGTCCAATAATTTTTTTTAGAGGAAAAAGCAGACTCCGAAGACAGAAATAAATGTAACATTAGTGAGCAGTATAAACAAATAAATGTAAGTATGCCTTTACAAAGGGACCGTCCGCAAATTACGTACCTAGCTAATGCACTTACAGGGAGCCGGGAGGTCCAGAGGTGCCTTACCTATGCCTATACGTAAGCCAAACGCAAAAATTTTGTTTCTTCCAAATTCCGTTAATTTAAAGACTTACTAGTCCAAATTTCGTTTTTTAGACGTTTAATGTTTTTTTGGTTAAAATGTAATTTTTTTGAACTTTTTGAATTTAAAAACTGTTATTTTTTCAATAGGTACAACTGTTATTTTTCATGATCTCCTACCAGCGATTAGTAATGTTTAAAACAATACCGATTTGTTTCAACACCATTTTTTTATTAAATTATGCATTTAAACGATAGAAGAGGGGGGGGGG